TTCTAGAAAAACCACAGAAAATGAGATAAAAGGCAAAACAAAAATATAATAAAAACTTATAATCATAAAAATAACCAGTAAAACTTGTGTACCTAGATATTTTATACACATTAGGATGACTAGTATTAAAAAGAAAAAAAACAAGTGTTCACAAAGATGTGGAAAAACTGGAACCCTCATTCACTGCCGGTGGGAAAAGAGTGCAGCTGCTGTGGAAAACAGTTTGAGGGTTCCTCAAAAGCTAAACATAGAATTACCATATGAACCATCAACTCTACTCCAAGGTATACAGCCAAAAGAACCAGAAGCACAGACACAGATACTCAGACATCCACACTTACCACAGCATTAGCACAATAGCCAAGAGGAGGATACAACCTAAATGTCTATCAGCAAATGAATGGATAAATTAAATGTGGTAAACACATACAATGGAATATTATTTAGCGTGGAAAAGGAACAAAACCCTGATGCTTGTTACAACATGGGTTAATCTTGAAAACATTAAGCAAGTGAAATAAGCCAGAGTCAAAAGGACAAATGATTCCACGTGAAACATGAAGCACCTAGAATAAGCAAATTCAGAGAGACACAAAGGAGAACACAGAGGACTTCTCTGGCGGTCCAGTGGTTAAGAATCCACCTGCCAATGCAGGTGGGCTCCATCCTTGATCTGGCAAGATTCCACATGCTGAGGGGAAGCTAAGCCCATGTGCTGCAACTACTGAAGCCCACACACTCAGAGCCTGCGCTCTGCAACAAGAGAAGCCACGGCACGGGAAGCCCACACACCGCACTAGCGTAGACCCTGCTCACAACTAGAGAGGTCCCTGCAGAGCAGCGCAGACCCAGGGCAGTCATCACGAGTAAGCAAAAATGATGTAGGACAGAGGCTGCCAGGGGATAGGGCTGGGGAACAGAAGGGAGGGACAATGCTTTTGTGTGAAGGGTACAGTTTCAGTTTAGGATGATGAGAAGTTCTGGAAAAGGACAGTGATAAAGCTGCACAACAGTAGGATTTCACTCAATGCTACTAAATTATTTACTTAGCAATGGCTTAAATGGTAACTTTTATGAGTATTTTACCACAATTCTACTAAAAAGACTATAATCTCTGAAGTTAACCTCTATAACTCCACAAGTCAAATAACTGAACATTATGAAAGAAGTCACATAAGAGAAAAGCAACTGATAACTGTAGAAACACATGGGCTTAAACGATGAGGTGGGACTCTATACCCGTTAGCAAAATGACAAACTTAGTATTTACAAGGTCAAGGAAAAAATAAGCCTCATATGCCATGAGGAAAATTTTACAATGCCTTGGCGTATATGATTATTATAACACCAGATTCAGGCAATCTGGTAACACACTTCAGATTTTAAAAAGTTCACATCCTTTGATTCAAGAACTTCATTCCAGAAGAAACCAAGTTGTGTGTAAAGATGTTTACATCAGGATTTAGTTTTATGTAAAAGAAATGCACAAGGACTGAGAAATGGTTATATGAGTTATGGCATATTAACTGATAAATAATATGAAACCACTAAAAAAAGGTAAACAGAAAGACCCTAAAACATGGACACGTATATCAAAAATAATGAAGTGAGGACCTCCCTGGAGGTTAAGACTTTGCTTTCCAACACCAAGGTGAGACTGAAGGGGTGAGAGTGAAGGGATACGGGTTCAATCCCTGGTCAGGGTGCTAAGATGCCACATGCCTCTCGGCCAAAAAATCAAAACATGAAACAGAAGCAATAGTGTAACAAATTCAATAAAGACTTTAAAAATGGTTCACAACAAAAACATCTTTAAAAAAAATAATGAAATGCAGAAAAGAACATGTATCCATGCTACATAATTATAACCATATGAAATTATTTGCCAAGCTAACTTTGAGAGCTTACTATGTACCTGGCACTGTGCTAGACATGAAATATGTCTTACATAATTTATTCCTTATAACAACCCTAGGAGATATAAACTCTTGTCCTGATTTTATTAATTAGAAAACTAAGGGCCATCAAGTCCCTGGGCATTATATACATGCTACACATGGGGATGTAGAATCTGACCACAGCCTGTGTGACTCCCGACCCTCTATGCATGGAAATCTCATTTAAGGGAGAATTGAGTGAGAGATGTAATTTTTTGAGGGGGATAAAGTTTTTAATAAAAAAAAATTAGAAAGTAAATCATTGCACACAAGTCTCAGTAAAGTGCTATGCCATTATCCTAGACTCTGAGCCCACCACTTCTAAAAACTTAGAAATATTATATTTATACAGACAGGCTGCCATTCACCTTCTTTTTATAAAAAATGGATACTTTACAGTTGTGACAACGTGAAAAAACCACCTGGAACTCGGCTCCCTTTTTGCCCCAGATGTCTTTTTCATGCACAGCTGCAGAACACAGCCAAAAACAGACTGGCTAAATAAATCTGTGGGTCTCTGGAAACCTTCCCTGGAGGCACGGCTCACTACCACCACCATTTTGGAACTGGTCCTCACAGTTCAAACAGAGACATATTGAGGGATGGAGGTGTCCTCAGTCAGAGCTACAACCCCCTTGTCGTTTTGCGCTGCCAAAGAGAGGGGGCTCCTGTCTGCTCCCCAAAGGAAAGCTGAGATCTTTCTGTAACCTTTGGATAGACATTAAAAAGCCTACCAGGTCCAGGCTGGCTGTGAGGCATGGTGAACCATCTTCAGAGCAGAAAATAGAGAGACGAGACAGGGGCCAAAGCCTTGGTGCTTGAACAGGCAGAAATCCCTAATGTGCAACGACTGTCCTTCACAGACAGGCTTGGGAGCGGTTTGGACATTCAGACACAGCACCATAAAACATCGCTAAGGCAGTTTGGGGTTACAGATACTTGGCTTTCAGAAGACGTGGCTGGCACCTGCCTCGTCTGCTGAAATACATAATGTTCCTGGAGATAAGGACAATACGCAAAGGTACCTAAAAATAAGCCAAGGGGAAACACAGACCTGTTTAAACATCCAAGGAGACTGACTCAAAGACCGTAACCATAGAAATGCAATTTACCCATAGCTAGTTTTTTTTAAATGTGGATTTTTTTAAATTATGGTACATTATTGCTTCTGTTTAATGGCTTGGTCTTCTGGCCACAAAGCATAGGTGATCTTAGCTCCCCTACAGGGGATCAAGCCCATACCCTGCAGGGTGCCCATAGCAGGGACCTACTCCTACCCATAGTAGGGAATTGTCTTTCTAAGACAAGTAGAGATGGCTGAGGGAGACCAGCATCACAAGTATGGAGGCCCCTGGGAGGACATAGGCTGGTATCATGGCCGTGGCATCGAGGCAACAACTGATTCCAAAAGCCAGTTCCCCTTGCCCATTTGTGAACACCAGCTCTCTTCTAAGGGTAACTTATTTTTCTAAAAGAAGCATGTTTACTGGTGCTCATGGTGCTCACAAGGTTTCCTCCAGCATGGCCCGTGGCCACCACCTTGCTGTCTCCACCACACAGATGGGAAGCCAGGTCACCCTTGGCTTCTGTGACTGGCAACGCCAGCGCCTGGACACGGTGGCTGGCACAGGAGCGCCAGGTGGGCCGAGACGGCAGCCCAGCCACTCGTCCTCCTCACCTCCAGTGTGGCCTCATCCTCAAGGCTCAGAGCCAGCTGGCCAACTCAGTTCCCGCAGACAGGTCCCAAACTCCAGAGAGAAAGTCAGGCCACCACACAGACAGTGAATCTCGCAGGACCCAGGCCACTCTGTCCTGCAACCCGCCACAGACAATGTCATGGCCAACACCCTAAGCTATCCCAGTGGCTCTGGAGCCCTCAGATGGTGCTGCTGGAGAACCGAAAGTCATTAGAAGGGAGTCCCAAACGATGCCTCCTGCTCAATAAGTTTGTTACGGAAAAGACAGTAACAATACCAGGGTAATGCTTGCATGAAGAAGCTATGCTGCTATGTTCAATCCAATGACACTTAATTTTTAATCTAATACTTCCAGTAAGTAAAAGAAATATTAAATAGTGAATTTGCTAAATAAATATTAGAAATTAAATGTTGTGTTGTAAACATAATAAAAAGAATAAAACAATTTAGTAATTATTAAAAAGAAGAAGTTATGCTGCTCCAAATTTCCTGTCCTTGCCACACTTCTGCTACTACAAGCATCTACAAAATTATTTCAGTGTCACTTTCTGATTTAAACACCTGCATTCCCCTACCTACAGTTTATCAAAGCAAACGGCCATGACCCTTCCCAACTGCCCCAAATTAAGACAAATCACCAAATGACCAGAAATCACAAAAGATTTGACAATCCTCAAGATGTTTAGAAGAATAAACTTTGGGGGGATGGCTTTCCCCTTCTAAATTCAGCACTGTCCCAATGAGATGGAAGGAAAGCGGGACAAAAATGAATTTGTTTTGAAATAGGTCCTTCTCTTCCCACTTATGGGGAAACAGGATCAAGTGCAGAGAAGTTCGGTGTGGATGTGGAAGGGCTCTCCTCTCTCAAATGGGACAAATACTCTCAATGGAACAGCCACAGGAGGCCCCCTGGTGGCACCAGGGCTTTGCCCAGGTTCAGCATCCCAACCCATTCAACAGCGCCACCATCTTCTCTAAGCCAGCTCTTAACAAGAATACTTAGCCTTCTTTCTCCTTAGTCTGATCATTTCATAAATTAGGGAAATGAAAAAAAAAAGTGTCACTTAAAAAAGATATCCCCCTCAAGAAATCCAAGGTTGATAAGAAATGAATTTAAAAATTAATGCTTTTTATTTCTGTGCCAAGGAAGGTTTGAGAAGAGTGCAGTCATGTGGAGAATGACCTTGGCTGTACAGACTACGCCAGAGAGAAAAGAAGATGGGTCATGGAAAGAATGATGAGTGCAAATTCCATCTCAGTTTGGGAGTCTTCTCTCACCCACCCTGCATTCTGACACGGCAGGCAGAGTCCTGGCTCCACGTGAGCACAGCTTTAGTCCGGGCTGGTGCTCTGCGCTGTCACTCACCTGTGCCATTGGCCAAGCCACTGTGGCTCGGGTTCTTGACGGGCTGGTGGTGCCGGCTGCTAGTACCGGGGCTCTGCTCGCCGGCTGCTGTGGCTGGTCTGGCTGAACCACTTGAATGTCTGTGCGTCCTGCAGGTTCAAAATATAAAACAGACATAAGTTACCATGAAGAAGAAAGAACTGTGCCCCCACCTAAGTCACCGTATTTCCTCTCTCACTATTTATGGGAAATAAGCCCTGTAATAGTCCTTCTGGTCTTTGACTTGACAGAAGCTGGCCCCAAACGGAGAAACTCAGGTAAGCTTCCTTCTTGGTAAAAAGTACAGAAGGTAACTTCGGGTAAATTTTTCTACTTGAAGTAAACAAATCCAGAGTGAATTGCCCCTACATCTGAAATAACTGGCAAAATATCCTGTGACCATCACATTATTTTTATTGGGCTTGACCGTAAGAAGTAAACAAGAAAATCACTGGACGGGCTACAGACAACATATTTCTCCCATTAGCCAAAAAAGCAGCCCCAAACTTATCCAAATCCATTTGCTCTATAGCTAGAAACATGCCTGCCTTGGGAATAAATGCTAGGGGCGTTAGACAACTTCAACCAATGTGCATGTTGCCATGTTTTACCTAGAAGAGGTGACTCAACAGTCTATGCAAGTAAATAAGGAACAAAGCAGAGAGGGATCTGTACAGGAAAAGTGGTGGAATTCAGCAACAGAGACTGTCTGACATCTTCAGAGAACACAAGGCAACAGGCAGTATGTGTTTCCACAGTCTTGTCATAGCTTGACTTCCTTCACCCAATGAAAATGACTGAGCTTCCCTGCCCTTCAGTTTCCGTTTTGTCAAAGGAGATTATTCTACTACTCCATCATTACATGCAACTTTTCAACAGTGAGAGGATTTCTATACTGCCCAGGGAAGAAAAGACCATCTCTGTCAAGGCAGAGAAACAGAGGTCCAGGGAACAATTTATAACCACGGGACAAGGGGCAGTGAGAATACCACTTACAAAAAGTGTGGAAGCAAGGATGATGCTGAAGCTGAAGCTCCAATACTTGGGCCACCTGATAGGAAGAACTGACTCATTGGAAAAGACGCTGATGCTGGGAAAGATTGAAGGCAGGAGGAGAAGGGGACGACAGAGGATGAGATGGTTGGATGGCATCACCGACTTGATGGACATGAGTTTGAGCAGGCTCCAGGAGCTGGTGATGGACAAGGAAACCTGGTGTGCTGCAGTTCATGGCGTTGCAAACAGTCGGAAACAACTGAACAACTGAACTGAACTGAAGGATGAAGGATGTATTTAATATGCACTGGGCTGGAATATCAGGTTCCAGGTACCTGTGGTATGCTGTACATTTTGCACACATTATCTCATTCAACATGGCAACCCCAGAGGTCGCCTACTATTATTATGTCCATTTTACAGGTGAGAAAAGAGACACCAAGAAAGTGAGCAATGGAGAAGAGGTTTGAATCTAGGTACTCTAAGATTGAGAACCCACACTCTCTGGTTGGAGGCTGGAGTGGGGGTGGGGGGAAGCCTGAACTTAAGTTGAATCCCTTTCGGGCTATTCATGGGTCACTCGCCCAATGGTGAGATGAAAACCTTGAACAGAAAGCTCACCCATGGGAAGGCTCCACACCCACCAGAACACCTCTGTTGGTGAGACATTCTGGCCCAGGATGTTGGGAAAAACTTGCAGTACAACAAACTCAGAGATTCCCAAGGGAAGGAAGTGGCCCCATGACTACCTTCTCCAACATGATGGGTACACACTCAAATGTTTACAATGATTGTCTTTGGACGCTGGGAATATGGATGTTTCCTTTTGTGCTTTCCTAGGTTTTTCTGATTTTCTTCATTAAACTTGCCTACTTTTGAGGGAGGAAGAAACACAATTATTTAAAAAGTTTTTCTTGGGCCAAAACTACAAAAAAAAAAAAAGAAGAAGAAAAAAGCAACCTAGCAAACCCTGCAGTCCTTGGTACCTAAGACTGCGTGGCAGTTAAAAATGGACAGGAGAGCACAACTGAGCTACGGAAATAAAGATTTAATTTGGACTGTTTTTCCATCTTATTTTTCCCTGAGCTAATTTCATAAATCAAAGCTGTCAGCCACACCTCAGTCAAGAAAAATATTTCAGAGTCCCTACTCCATGGGAAGGAATATTAGCATTGAGCATTTTACCACAAGTCCTCATCGAAAGCAGGAGTGCAGACTAGTTCCAGAGGGGAAGATGGTCGTTAGCTGCTGGTGAATGTGTGTGTATGTGTTGGGGGCTGAGAGCTTGAGAGAGATCAAATTGGTTAATAGAAGGTTTATTTCAGCCAAGAATCCCCTTAAAAGGACAAAAGAAAAAAGCCTCTGTGATTGGGTGCTCAGAGCCCACAGCAGAGGGCTGGACCCTCCAGGCGGGGCAGCCGCGTGGGGCAGCACAGAGAACAAGACACCGGCCGCGTCACACGCACGGCCGCTGGCAGGCCTGTGACTCCTTCCAGCCCCCTGGGCTCCTTGACCCTCTGCAGGGCAGCTGGGCATGACAGCAGGGCGGGTCCTGCTACTCTCCTGGCCCCTCCCTCCCTTCCCCGAAAGGGCGTGTGGTTGGAGTTGAGAGAGAACACTTTCAGAAATGTTCAACCACTAATGACAGCAGCACACCCTGAATGACAGGCTGGAGCAACGCTGGGATTAGCCATAAACCAGGGGCAGCTGGGACCACTTTGCCTGAATTGCTGCCTCCTTGCCCATGGCCCATGGCCACCCCGCTACCCGCCCACCACACACACACACACACATGCACACAAGGCCATCCCACTACCCGCCCACCACACACACATGCACGCATACACACAGACACACACACAGACACAGACACACACACAAGGCCATCCCACTACCCGCCCACCACACACACATGCACGCATACACACAGACACACACACAGACACAGACACACACACAAGGCCATCCCACTACCCGCCCACCATACACATACACACGCATACACACAGACACACACACATACCCTTCCCCCAAACACACACCCTTATACACACACACACACACACACTTCCCCCAGATTCTTCCCTTGCCCTAAGTCTGGAGCTTCCACTTTTCCCCTCTTGAATTATCTTTAAAATAAGACTCTTAGAAAGAAGAGAAGGCCTGAACATTTGAGGAAAATCTTCTCTTTAGCAGTTGCTTCTTTGGGAGGATTCAGTTCAGTTCAGTTCAGTTGCTCAGTCGTGTCTGACTCTTTGTGACCGCATGGACTGCAGCAAACCAGACTTCCCTGTCCATCAGCAACTCCCAGAGCCTGCTCAAACTCATGGGAGGACTCACCCAACCTTTAAAAGATGGGACTGTGTCGTGATTAAAAAGCTGGCCCAAATGCTGAAACCACACACCATAAGCCAAAATAGTACCAGGACGCACGTGGGGTGATGGGGTGGAAATGAGCTGGGCTCCACCACAGGCAGCCTGGCTTCGGCTCTGCCAATGACTTCAACCTTGGCCTGATCCCTCCGCCATTTTGGGGGCGGGAGGGAACAGCTATGCAGACCCTGGGGCAGTCAAAAGGCGGCAGAACAGCAAAACTCCACAAATGGTTTTGAGTCCTCTAGTTACCGAGATTCAGCTCTCACTACAGTATGTGCTTTCTCAGAATGCTGGTGTGAACTTACCTAAGTTCCTCTCTCAGGTCAGAAACTAAGGCCTCCCTAAGGAATACCAGTCAAGGTCCGGGTCGGAGGATTCTCTCTCCATGCTCCAGAAAACGATCTGATGCAAGTGAGGCCCCCAGGAACGGGCTCCTCGCTGTCCCTTGTCATTCAAGCTTTGACGTTCAGTGCTGGCCTCGGTCCTCAGCTAACCCTGAGAGCCACAGCCTCAAATGCTGTGAGATATTTGGCACTGTCCTTCATGAAAGCCAGTAACTTGAATTCAATCATTATTTTCTGACCTATTAGGCTGTGTTCTAGATCTACCAACAAAATTAAGAGTCCCTGACCTCAAGGACCTACATGTTAGGGGAAAGGCAGTGATCGATAATCCTGCTCAGACACAAACTTGCATCACTCTCTATGATGCTGGTGTGTGGGAGTCACTGGCCAGTGAGTGAGCCTGGCGGGTAACTTAGCACTGTCACCCAGGGCAGCTTTGTTGATCCTCATCACATATGCAATAGTTTATGTGGAGCAATTAAACAAAACTTTGTTTAAAAAAAAAAAAAGGCAGCCTTACTATTGGTAATGTAAATTAAAACAAAATGAAGAGTCAAAAGAAGTAACAGCTCACAAGACACAAAAACAAAAGTTTCTGCTAAATTAAAAAATGAAATTCAAAATTTGGTGGTGGCTCAGAACTTGGGATTGGTAAGTCTATCATATCCCTTATGAGGAAATGGATTTAAAAAGCACTCCATTAAAATTCAAAACTTCTGCCCTTCCAAAAACACTATCAGGAAAATGAAAAGCTAATCCCTAAACTGGGAAAAATTATTTCTAAAATATGTATCTGATAAAGGATTTCTATCTAGTATAAGAAAAAACTTTCAAAACTCAATAATAAAAAGAATAAACCAACAAAACTAACCAAAAAGCTTTAAAAGAGAAGATCTACAAACGGCAAATAAACACATGAGAAACGCTCAACATCAATAGTCATTAGGAAAATGCAAATTAAAACCACAGTGAGATACCATCACACAACTATACAAACAGAAAAAGTAAAAACAAAACAAAAAAGCCTCACACACACAAACAAAAACAAAACAAAAAAATCTGACAGTAAACAGTGTTAGTAAGAACACAAAGCAACCAGGTCTCTTAAATACTGCTGAAGGGAATGCAATGTGGTACTATCATTTTGGAAAAGTCTGGCAGTTTCTTATAAAGTTAAACATGCACTTAGTGTACCAACCAGCAATCCTACGCCTAGGTATTTATGCAAGAGAAAAGAAAACATGTTTATACAAAACTTGTAGGCAAACTATTTTGGGTGACGATTCATAATTTTCAAAACCATAAACAACCCAAATCGGTGAATGAACAGACTGAATGTGGTACATCAACACAGTGAAACACTACTCAGCAAACAAAAGGAATGAACTACTGAT